CCCCCCCCCCCCCCCCCCCCCCCCCCCCCCCCCCCCCCGCCTCCGGGACAGATGGCGGCTCCTGACCTGGGAAGAGGTCCTGCACTTAGCCAAGCACAGTTCAAAGTGATCTTCCACTGCCATGAAGAGGTTCTGGAATGCCACTGCTGCCCGGTTGAGGAAGCGCTCCAGGAGAAGTTGCTACAGAAACAAAAATCAGTACCTGTAATAATTCCACAGCAAGCAAGCACAGGTTAATAAGAGACGCTGACATAGAGACAGAGGGGGCCCAGTCCCTTATTCACTAGGCCTCTGATTAGCAACACAGTGGGCCTTTCTACAGAGGAGCCTTCAGTCCCTGGGAACCAGCTCCTCTCTCTGCAGGCAAAGCCTACTGCACAGCAGTGATTTCTGATCCCACAAAGTTCCTTTCTAAGTTCTATAATCAGCAGAACCTCAGAAGAGCCTCATGGTCACCCTGAAATAAAGGATGACAGACAGGGAGGCCTGGAGCCGCAGCTGCTCTACCTTGTTGGGCTGCAGGCAGCAGGACACACAGTGCTCATAGGCGCTGCAGCAGCCGTTGGCCAGGCAGCCATCGCAGCAGTACTGCTTTGTGCTGGGGACGCTGACATCACAGCAGCCATTGGTCAGCAGATCCTTCCGTTCACAGACGTACCCTGCAAGTCAGAGAGGAGTCTGAGAATGGAGCCAGCAGTGAGCACGGAGCAGTGTGAGGACGGACACAAGGACAGAAGCTGGCGACGGGGCAGCCTCAGCATGGGGGCGCCAGATGCGGACGTGTGACTAGGGCTGGCTTTCTCAGAGGGGGAGTGAACAGAAAGTAGGGCTCTCCACCGGGGCTGGCTCCACACTGCGATGCCTGTCAGCCCACAGCCAGGTGTTTCATCTGGGCACCTCGTCAACACCAGGAGACCGCCCACGACTTGCTGTTCTAACCTCTGCAAGCCAACCTGTCTTTCATCTGCCTCAAGAAAAATGTCCCCTTTTTTTCCTTCCTTTTTCCCTCTATTGCAGTGCAGGGAATACTCTTTTTCAAATAAAAATCTGAAAATAGGAAAAACCAAGGCATTCACTCACAAAAGTTCTTTCTAGACTTAAATATCAACAAAACACTCTCTACAACATCTTTTAAGTGCTTGCTGTTTATTTAGTAATTTGGAGAATTTCCCAAGTAGAAATAGTCATACTTCACCTTTGTAAAGTGATTCAGGCTCTTTGCACGTGAAATACTGGGGACTCAGCTAACCCTGGAGTTAGGGGACGCTGCCCCCCGATGCCCAAGGAAGAGAAAACCTCCTCCTGAGTCTCTCCACTCAACTACATGCAGCCATCTCCTCCAGCCCAGTGGCCTCATGCCTAATGCCACCTCCCCACAGAAACTGATTTCTTGTTCAGAGCTTTGACACAGACATTTCTCCACATCCTTCTAGGAGTGGGACAGAAAAATGTCAGAAGGCTTCCATGAGGGCCACCACTGGGCTCTTAAGATACTCCCAGGTGCACGTTCAGGCCCACAGGTGCGTGCACGGGTCCACAGGTGCAGAGCAGCTGCTCCCAGCATCACTCCACTCAAATGCCCCAGCTCCTTGGTCCTCAGAGAATGAGACTCGTTGTAGCACAGGTTGTTTTCAGAAGCTACACTGGAAAACAAAGCCTAGGCAGAAGCAGGAGGCACCTGTGGAATAAGGACAACAGAAGGGACCAAGGGGGCCTTTGCTCAACACCTGAGAAACTGAGGCCTCAGGAGAACAGACCTAGTTACCTGGGAAACTGGTACCCTTTGCTGTTGTGTAACTGTTATTCCGTCTCCTAGGTTAGGAGAGGATGATTCTAAAGGCATAGTAAATGTTTCTGGGAGTTTCCCCCAACTATTCCTACTTATTTTCTTTATAGAGAATTCAAACAAACAAACAATCCAAGTAAGTCAGCACTTTTCTTGAAATTCTGCCCCAAGTGATAACTATAAACAACTCTGTGCCAGGAAGATCTAAATATTATGTGACCGAAAGGCTATTTGTCCAGTTAGCTTTCTGCCATTTCCTTTTCCACACTGGGTCAGTATTTCAGGCCTTCTTTTTGTTTCCAGTGCCACTGTCCAGCATTAAGCCTGGAATCTGCAGGTCTCATTTCTGGAAAGTTCATCAAGTTCTCAAGACCTCTTGCTCTATACCATGGGCTACTCATGCAAATGTTATTTCCAACAAGGAGACCGGTGAGATCACAACCTCGAAATGCGTTGCACTGCCTGGGAAATTAACTTCCAACCTTTGATAAGTCTGCAATTCTAATTGGTTGTCTTATTTAATGACATGTTACCCAGGCAATATTCGTGGTGGCATCTGCTTGCTGAAAGGCGTGAGTGCTGTGAGCTTTCTTTATTTCTTAAATCACTTCTCCCACATTCACGGAAGTGAAATAAAAACCTATGACTCTTGAATTTTCACCAACTGATGAGTTGATTCTTGGAACTTTTTAAAGAGTCTGTGAGTCTCTGTCTCACGTACATTAATCAGAAAAAAAAAAGTATTCTTTTGCTAGCTACAATCAAAGAAAATGACAATTGTGTTTATAACTCAATGCTAAATTCGAAAGTCAAGGCATAAGATGTCAGGTCTTCTAAATTTGAAGTAAGCCCCGAACTCCACCATGTCAAGGCATCTGATCCCAGTCCTAACCAACTGCACTATCTCTGTCAGTTAACTAACTCCCTTTGCTCAACTTTACTATTAAAAAAAAAAAAAGACTTTTGCAATATTTGCTTTTTCAATGTGACCTTAAGAAGAGCTTGTCACTGCTACCACTGCTGATTTGCAAGTATATTTTTGTTCAAAATTTTCAGCTCTCTTATCTTAGGTAGGCAGTTTTCCTCTGACCCACCTCATTTCCAAATAATATCATCTCTGGTTTCATGACTTTGGGATCTTTTTGAGAAAGTTTTATTTATTTATTTTTATTTTGCAGGGTCTCTAAATGTTTTTTAAAGCAATAACGTCTTCATTTACTTTGGCCTCATCATGTGTAGATGAAGACTCTACTAAAGGTTCACCTGTCACAATTCCAATACTGTCCTGTTCACAAACCATCTATCCTGAGACTCTTAAATGGTAAAATTTGTTTGCAAACAAACAAGGAAACCATGTTATTTACAAACCACTAATTAAGAAAAAAAAAACCTACAAAGCATCAGGGAACTTTGAGCACTGTCTGGATACCTAACATTTAGGATAAGTTAGCACTTTTTCTGATGTGATAATAGTATTGCACTTATGGTTTATGAAGGTCCTTAGCAATCCTGGGCAAGTACTTAAGCCCTGGTGCCTCTCTCTTCACCTACAAAATGAGGCTGGCAATACCTACCTTCACAGGTCTGCTACAAAAACAAAAAAAAATGCAAGACATCCACACTTGATGCCCAGTGCCCAGCACTTGGAGGAGCTCAGTCAGTGCAGGCTGAGCAACAGCAGGCCTCTGGGAAGGGCAAGCAGGCTTCAAGGGGGATGAGCTCTAGCAGGTGTCTGGTCTGGCTGCCTCGCCCCAAAGAAATCTCTTTTCTTATAGCTTAAATAGAAGCGAGAAAATATCCCTCAATTTCTAAGAGGAACACACTTTGAGTATGATTCATTTGAAACTGACCAGTCAGTCTATCAACAACCACATTTCCTGAGCGTCAACAGTAGGTGGATTCACTCAGGCTACCAAGGATTTTTAAACTGAACTCTCACTTTACAGAGTTCACCATCAAGATGGAAGAAAAGGTTGTCAAGAGCTGAAAATACGTGAGCTGGAGAGAGACTGGCAGAAGTGGCCCAGGGACTGATGGACAATTAAGTGCTGACACTGGAGGCTGCAGACACAGCAACTGTTAGGAGGAGGGAGAACCACCAAGGCAGGCTTCTCTGACACTGAACAGAAATGGTGAGCAGGGCATGACAGAAATGAAATGAGCACGCAGGGAGACGCGCTGCAGAGGAACGCCTGCTGAGACCAACCCCACCAAGGGCCCCACCAGCACGTTGCATCCTGGCTGCCAAGATAGGGCGCGGAGCCGGCCTTACCCAGGTCGTCCGTGATGAGGTGCTTCCCTTGAATGGAGTTCCGGCACTGATTGCTTGGCCGGCTGCTATTGCCCAAGTTGAACTGTACCTTCCATGGAATGGGTTGGTCGTGGTCCTGAACCTGGAGGAGATTCCGATCTCTCACTGCCCTCTCCTCCTGCAAAGAGACCATCAATGGAAAAGTTAAAGTATCTTTCCTTGTGATCTCACCAATTTTTCATAGAGACTGCAGCAAGAGGACATCATAAGAAGCTTGCCCCCCAGGAACCTGTACTCTGCTGGTAGAAACAACACCCGAGAAGGGTCATAAAATAGAATTGTAGGAAAAAAATCGTAAGGTTTTTTTTTGCCTGTACCTGGCAAGTTTACCTGCAAGGTCCCAGAATGACGTGCACATGACAAATGTGCAGAAGTGTTCATTTGCAGGGAAAAAGCTTTGAACTTTTTCTTTCTGATGGCCTGTCATTTTGAATTTTTTCATATTAAAAAAAAACATGTGGAATAGAATGCAAAATTTGAATACTTTAGCGTAAACAGAAAAGGAAACATTTTTGTGACTGTCACCTCGGGCATAGCAGACACATCTGGAGCACAGGTCGCTTTCATTTGCAGTGAGAGTTTTTCAGAGACACAGTATGGGGAAACTGAGTTGGAGCTGACAGAGGGTAAGATGAAGCGGTCATCTCGGGAGTTGACTGTGTGGGAATCCTGAGAATGTAACCCACAGCACCTCTACGGCAGACCAGAGGAGGAGCTGCCTGAGCAAGAGTTGACCCCCTGTCTCCTAGCCCTGAAGCCATGCTGGGCGGGGAGTTTTCTAAATCACCTTTTCTGTGCCATTAAAGAGATTGAGGAGGAAGGTGCTCAAGTGCCAGAAAGCCTGCCAAGCAGGGGACAAACCACTGCAAAAGACTCTCTCCTGAAGGTCTTTATGTTCTTTAAACATTCACCGTTCAAACAGAGTTCGGTGGCTTGAACCACTGAGATTGATCTGTTGTGGCAGGGCGCCCGCTGGTGAGCCCAGCTGTGTGAGAAGCGGAGACAGGAGGAGCTTCTCGATCTTTTCTTTAAAAAGGAAGGGGTCTGCTGGGGATGTGGTTAGTGTTAGAGTGCTGGCCTAGCATGTGAGAAGCCCCCGGTTCAATCTCCACATCGCCAAAGAAAACAGACCTGTCTTTTGTCACTTTTTAAGCAAAAAGGATTAACTTTGAAAATCTGATGGCAAGGGCTGGGGCTGGGGCTGGGGCTGGGGCTGAGCGGTAGCGCGCTTGCCTAGCATGTGTGAGGCACTGGGTTCGATTCTCAGCACAGCTGTAAAAAAATAAAGGTCCATCAACATCTGAAAAAAATATTTTTAAAAATCTGATGGCAAAACTTACATAGTTTTTAAAAAATGAGAAACACCTTTGTAATTACTAAAATTTATTTAGAAAACTAATCTGGGAAGAGCCATTAACATTTAAAACAAATATATATTAACAACTTGGCCCAGCAAACCCTTTTTTGAAGGCCACCCTATAGACAATGCCAATGTGTAAGGATGTACTGGGGTACTTACATTGTTTAAAAGGTAGAAAAACCTAGAAGCTCAACAGAGAAGAACTGAGTACTAGTACAGACGTGGTCTTACAACAGGCTGCAACAGACTGATAGATGTCTAGAGTAGGTCTTCACCCGGATTCCCACATTCAATTTTGTACAGCTTAAAATGAATTCTGACTCTTGAGTCTACCAATAGATGAGGAAAACACCTCTGTGGATGAGAACTGGGTATCAGTGTTCTTAAAAGTCCCAGATGATTTTAACAGGGTGCAGAGCACTGAGTGTCTACAGTATATTAAGCGAGAAAGCAAGTTGAAAATAGTGTGCACCATGTCACACATTATATTCTGATAACAACTACAACATGTACATATAGGTTGGTAAGAACTGAGAAAAGCTTAGAAAGTCTACTCCCAATTATTGCCATGGAAGGAGATTGTGATTCTTAAAATTATCTTTAATCATTTTTGGAATAATCTTATTTTTAATTTAAGACGTGCTTGTGAATAACAGGAGAAACGAAGGGAAGGTCCTGCAGGAACTACACTGCCTGGTGACTTTTCTGTACACCTGTAATTATTTCAGACTAAAAGGTGGGTGTTTTTGTTTTTGTTTGAGAGAGAGAGAGAGAGAGAGAGAGAGAAATTTTTTTTAATATTTATTTTTTAGTTTTCAGTGGACACAATATCTTTATTTTATTTTTATGTGGTGCTGAGGATGGAACCCAGCGCCCCGCGCATCCCAGGCAAGTGCGCTACCGCTTAAGCCACATCCCCAGCCCTAAAAGGTGTTTTTAAAAATAATTATCAACATTAAAGACAGAAATTACCCACGATCCCATCACACAAATAAAACCCCATCTGTATCTGTACATGAACTTCTGGCCTCTAAACCCACTTGATGTCACAAATTAGGGTGCTTTGCATTCAGCTCTTCTTGACACTAATTGGATAGTAAAACATTTCCAAGCACCTACAGGATCTCTGATCATCTCATTTTCAAGTCTATATAACGCCATCATGCTGATGTGCCCTGAGTAAACACATCCTCGTAGACTAACATGAGAATACCCAGGGATTTTGCTATCCTAGATGGCTCTCAATAAAATGTGAGGATTTAAAAAACTGTTGAATAATTTTTAGTAGTAAATGCCATGCGATGCTGAATAACTCCAAAAATTCTATCTACCGTGTGCAATACCACCAGCATTTAAATGCCACTAATTATGATTTGGCCACAACCCCACCAGGACCAGTTTTGTTCTTTAATTTACTATGTAAATGGTCTTTCAAGGTGGCTTTTTTGTTTTAACAGGAAAAAGTGGCACCAGCCTGCACATGGCAGGATGTACAAGAACAGGTGTATTTGCTGGTCAGTGGGAGATGAGGAGCGAAGTGCAGGAGTCTTGGGAACTGGGACAAATCATTTAGGAGCATCCTGCTTAACTACCTGTGAATTCACACCCCGCTGCTCTACTGGGACACACGAGCTAACTGCATCATCAAGCTGTGTGCACATTAACCTGAGCTGCAAATGCCACCCTGGATAAATTAATAGCTATAAAGACTATTAAGGGGCCAGTCAGAGTGCAGTAAACTGGCTGTTACGACAAGGTTAAAAGTGTCCTTAACATTATTCCCAAGCTATCCTGTTATTTGTCTTGAAAGAAACAAGAGTTCATGGCCAAGTGATCTCAGAAGGCTCTCTGCCACAGAACAATATTCCTGGTAAACAGGAAAGCAATTCTCCCAGCGCTTGAACTTGTTTTCAAACATGAATATTCAAGACCCTGCCAAAGAATTGTGTGGGGAGGGCAGAGATGGCATAAGGTAATGACCTGGCCCCAGTTCCTTTTCTGATGGCACAGTCTTGCAAAGGGCAGGGGGAAGGAGCACTGAGGACTTTCTTCCTTCAGATGAGAGTTTAAACTTTTCTCAAACTGTTCCCCAACCCTATGGGTGGTCTCAGCTTGAAGCTCTTCACCAAATATGTGTATTTTTTTCATTCAAGATTCAGTCAAATGTATGGAACTTCTACAAAGTACAAAGGCTACAGAGACAACGGTGACCAGGTGCTCCAGTCTCCAAAACCTCCTTGAAGCTGCTGGCAAGGAGATCTGCACCAAATCAGTGCAACAGACCACTGCAGACAGGATGAAGATGTCCCGTGGTACACCAGGGCACCAAAGAAAGGGTAGGAACAAAGACACACGAGAACTTTCTTTTAGAATTGTAAGGAGTGCAGAAATGTCTTCATTGCTAATGAGTGTCACTTTGCCTTGAATTTTCAAAAGGTGTATTAATAACTGTGCTGGGCATGTTTCAGGGGTTGTTATAAAGGTCAAATGAAATGGTGTCCCACGTGGGTGAGAAAGCACTTAAACACAAGGCACTTTTGCCATTAAGAGATCTGCCTGAGTGTCTGGAAACTGGGAAGGAGGAAAGCCGAAGAACTTCCCAAATGCCTAATATTTGGGAATTGCAATAATGAAAAATCAAAGTTATAAAAAATTTAAAAGAGCTTTTCAAGATGAAGAAAATGCTTATATGCTGTGAAGAAACAGTAGGCTTCAATTACACACAGAGAAAGTATGAAAAATGACAGGAAGAAAATAAATAGGGGACCCCTCTGGTTGGTGAGATTACTGGTAACTGTTCCCTCTGCTGGCCTGTGAGGCCCTTTACAAACTTTCTAGAAGACATGTGTATCTTGGTGATCAGTGAAAATGCAAAACAAAAGCCAGATAACCAACATGAGAATCTTAGGATTTACTGCACTTCACTTCAGATAGCATCTAAGATGGCTCCAATTCACAGACCTAACTGCTTTAAAGCCAAAGATGTTAATGTGTTTTCAAGGAGCTAGGCAAATAGCCCCTTGAACTGTAGGAGCAGGGAACACTGCCTGAGAGGACCTGAGGACCCTCTGGGCAGCACTGGGATTCCCTGACCTCAGGCCCAAAGCCCTGGAGTCATCATCTCTCACCCTTTGACTTCCTGTCTTTCCTCCTCCCAGCCCATGACATCTGCCTGCCCATGTGCCTTCTCCAATGTGCGCCATCTCCAACACACCGCAGCACATGCCCAGAGGGGCACAGTGGTGCTTAGGAAAACTTTGTTAAAGAACATGCCAAGTTACCTGGCACCACTTGCCACCCCCAACCCTGTGCCCCAATGGCATCCCTCACTAGTTTCTCCTATGTTCCCATCTATAAAAACTTAAATTATCCCCCAAAGCATTAATTAACATGAAAACCAAAGAAAAGAGGGATCCAAGAAGCAGAAGCTAATGACTACCTCTGGACCAAGCACCGCCCTGCTGCATCTGCCGTCTCCCATCTCCCCAAGCAAAGCAGAGGATCCCGCAGAGCTCCCAGTCTCCAGGCTTCTTCTCAATTAATGGCAAACACTTTCCTCCCCCAGCCCCGAACTCCAGCTCTCCAGCCCCATTTTGCAGATGGAGAACCTGGAGAGGGCAGCCAGGTGAGGGGAGCACACTGGCTTCCAGGGACATTCCCGCAGACTGGCAGACGCCAGTTGAAGTTGGTCACAGCACCAGGGCGCACAGGCCAAGGCAGGCAGGAGAGCAGCAGCCAAGGTGGCCTAGGGCAGAACT